GCAGGGAGCCCGATGTGGGGCTCGATCCCAGGACCCTGGGATCATGACCTGAGCCGAAGGCAGATGCTTAATGACTGAGCCACCCAGGTGCCCCAAAAGTAAAATATTTTAGTTGGTCTCTGTGCCATCTGAGATTTACTGAGTAACCTATCTCCTCTCCGTTTTGGATTTTGGCATCGCATGGCACCCTCCCCCCCCCACCACAGTCATATGCACAGCCCCCCACTATGGGCATTAGCATTGTTGATTGGTATCTTTTCCTTTTGGACAGGAGTACTTCCTGCATCCTTGTCCATCTGGCTAGTTTGTCGTACACAATCAGTATTTTTTTCTCGTATATTAACTGCAGATAACCCAAACGAAAGCTAGTTGATGCTGTTCAGTCATATACCAACATTTTCATGACTTTTGAGCTGGCAGGTATAATTCTTTTCTGCTTTTTAGCCAGAATTAGTTTAGGAATGTTCATTTTTTAGCAGTTTAACTTGTATTCTGAGCATGTCTAAGCTTAAACATGTACCATAGCTTGTTGTGTATAGAAAGGCCTGTAGTATTTATATAAGGAATTCTAACCAATTCCTGTTAAGATTTTTTCATTTTAAATCCGATTTTTCCAAATAATATAGCAGTAGGTAACATTAGATTTTGATAGCATTGAAAGTTATTCTGAATTGCTACTATCTATATTTGAAGTAAATTGCATAGAATATCTTGCTTAAATGTAATCTTAAAGTGTGCGTTGTTGTATCAGTATATTGAAGGCAGATGCTTAACGACTGAGCCACCTAGGCGCCCCTATATTGTGGTCTTAATTCTCTACTGTGTAGGTGATCTTTAATTGTAAGGAGTCAGACTGTAGAAGGGGGTTAATATTCATAGACTGTTCTTATAATCAAAGACACTGTGAGACTCTTGTGCTATATTATTTCCCCTTTGAATATGGATTTTACCAGCTCCATATATCCTCTAAACTAGATGGGTTGTAATTTAAGATAAAAATGTAAGCTGTACAGTTACCGATTTATGTTTCTTTTAGAATTTTTTTGGAAGAATGATCTATTCATGGGCCTAGTGTGTAATCCGTTCTCCCCTCGCACCCTGATTATTGACTACTGACTGAAAATGGTCTAGATTTACGTGTGTATGCTAGGCATTTACCTTTCATACCTTAAAAAGAATAATTTACCAAGCTAGATAATATATCCTCTCAGGTAGATATAGTTTGAGTCCATCTCTGCCAGTGAGAAGCAGGCAGCAGACCGGGCAAATAAAACAAATGCTATTTACAATTTTTATGTTTATAGCAAAGATTAATACCAAATAAACAGAAAACTGTAAAGTATGTCATAGTCATTTGTGCTCAGGAATAATTGTATTAGTTATTGTATATACTGAAACTTATTTTTTGTGCAGAAATACTAGTTTTCATTTTCATGTTGAACATTTTCTTTATCCTAATGAAATTTAGGAGATGCATTTGCTGTACTTTTTTTCGTTGTTGTATGGTATTTTATCATTCATTCTTGGAAGTCCTGTGGTCTTCCAGGTGTTGCGCAATAAATGTGACTTGGTGTCAAGGTTCATATCTGAGTAACAACTAGGCAAGAAATTGGCAAACCTGTTCTTTAAAAAAAAAAAGAGAGAATGATACTTCCATGGTTTTACATTAGAATTTTGTGTTAATACATTTGTGGATAATTACCTTTGTTACTAGAGATCAGAGGATTCTGTAAGAGTAAATTTGGTAGCACATAGACTACACAGTCATATGCACATTATAGCTTCTTGTTATGCCAAATCAAGAGAAGGAGTCACATATGTATATATGGACACATTTGACATACTTATATTTCTCTACATGCACATAAAAATTGATGTAACGTGAATGACTTGTATGCTTTTCTGGTTTAGACTGGTAATTGTGATTATTGATTTCTTCCATACTAAGAGATTGTCATGGTTTTTCATTCTCTACTGATGTAATTTATGCCTTTAAAACTCATTTTGGTGACATCCTATATCAAGTGTAGAAGTGAAAAATTTAAAAAGTTTGAACTATTATATAGATTAGAATGAAGGGAATTCTAAAGTATGACTTAATAAGTTGAATGTTCCATTTATTCAATATTTATTCAAGACATTTATTAACCACTTATTAAATGCTAGGCACCTTCAACTGTACTGGAGATTCAGCTTAATATTTAATAGCAAAGTAAGGTGAAATAATACTGAGACTCTGGAATAAATTATGTCTTTCAAATTAAAGAAATGCTATTTGTTCACCAAATAGTTTGCCATTCAGTTTTGGGGATTCAGTTTATGTTTGATATCAAAGTAAGGAAATAATATTCAGGATGTGGAATAGATTATATTTTTAAAGTAAAGAAATGTTACTATTCACTGGATGGTTTGCCACTCAATTTAAAAATTACTTTGTGAATGAAACAAGTATAAAACCAGGTGTGTATTGAGACGTAGCTAAAATTATTTTTTTGTACTTAAGGACTCACCGTTTTTAAATATGAAAATTGGAAATCAAAACTGAACATACTTTAAAACTTTTTTATTTGGAAATAATTTTAAACTTAAAAGTTGCAAGAAAAAGAACAGTACAAAGAATTTAAAAATTTTTCTTCTGCCAAGATTCACCCTTTGTCAATATCTTGCTGCCCTCCTTTCTCCTCTCTTCTTCCTCTCCCTCTTCTTTGCTTCTCTTTCTGTTCCTTTTTTCACTCACTTAAAATGTGTATAAATCCCATCCCTCCACCACTAGAGGGTCATTTGCATATATAATGGTCCATTTACTGTAAATATTAAGAATAAGGATAGCCTCTTTTTTTAAAAATATTTTATTTATTTGACAGAGAGAGAGAGAGAGACAGTGAGAGAGGGAACACAAAGAGGGGGAGTGGGAGAGGGAGAAGCAGGCTTCCCGCTGAGCAGGGAGCCCGATGCGGGGCTCGATCCCAGGACCCTGGAACCATGACCTGAGCCGAAGGCAGACGCCCAACGACTGAGCCACCCAGGCGCCCAAAGGATAGCCTCTTAAATAAACACGTACAGAACTCAAGTAAATTTCACATTGATAAAATATTCTTATCGTCCATATTCTGTCAGTTGATCCATTAATGTCCTTTATAGCACTTCCCCCATCTAGGACAGAATCCAGTATGGGATCAGATACCCATTTGTCATTTCTTTTTAGCTTTCTTTAATCTGGAATATTTACAGATTTTGTCTTTTATGAGATTGTCATTTTTGAAGAATACGGTATTTCTGGCATTGTGGGATCTGGGTATGTTTCAAAATCATAATATTGAGCCACTATTTTTTTTTTTTAATTGATTTATTTTAGAGAGAGGGAGAGAGTGTGTATGCCCATGCAGGCCCAGGGGCAGAGGGAGAGGGAGAGACTCCCAAGCGACTCCCTGCTGAATGCAGAGCCCAAATGGGGCTCCATCTCACAACCCTGAGATCATGACCTGAGCTGAAATCAAGAGTCTGTCACTCGACCCACTGACCCACTTAGGCACCCCATATTGAGCCACTGTATATCAAAGATATGTTAAGTTCTTTTCTCTCTTTTTCTTGGAAACATCTCAGCTTTTCAGCTTTTACATTTTACTACCAAAATTACAGGTAGAATGAATTTTGTTGGTATTTAATTCATACCTACAGCATATGTAAAGGTGATGTCATAATCTAGAGCTCTTGGTTAACGATCATGTGGTTTTGATTTTTTAAAAGCTGCATATTTAAGTTTCGTTGATTTTGAATTTTTGTCTCCTTTCCTGGTATTATTGTGCCACCTAGTGGAAATTTATATCCTTCACTACATGTCTAAAAATCTAGATGGACTGCAAGATGCATTTTAACATACTCAGAAAAAAGTAGTTTGGAAAGTTTGAACTTCTTGATGGACTTGGAATTCTTTAGAACAATGATTGTCTTCCTAAACAAGAGTTTAGGACAAATAAAGTTCTTAGTAAGTGAAGGCTTAGTAGAGGTCTTAAAATTATGAGCTGTTGAATGTTAAAACCTGTTTTTGTTTCAACAAGAAACACCCTACATTTATTTTCTTTATCATTGAAATCTTAACCAAAACATATTACATTTCCATCAGTTAATACTAAGATAATTCTTGCTATGTGGATCTTATCAAAAGCCCTTCCCCCCCCCTGAACTTTTTTTTGTGTACGTCTTCTCTCCAGGCCTAACATAGTGGAGTTTATGTGTTATTTACACATTCCAGGTTTATTTTGAAGTCACAGAAGAACAACACAGTGGGTAACAAATACTCATGAAATGGTTTAAAGGAAAACCATGTGGTACCTTGAAAATAGCCTGAAAACAATTTAGATTTTTATCATTTGAAGACTCCTTACCAAATGACAAGATAAGCTCTAATTTGTGCTTTCTTGGGTAAAAATAAAATGTAAGTTTTTTTTTTTCCCAAAGATTTTATTTTTGGATTTTATTTTTAAGTAATCTCCACACCCAGTGTTGGGGCTCAAACTCACAACCTCGAGATCAAGAGTCACCTTCTCTACTGACTGAGCCAGTCAGATGCCCCCCAGGATTTCATCACGTGGAGAGTTGGCGGTCTTTTCTTCTTCTTATTAAATATGTAGAAGATGCCTTCCTTATCCTTTGTAGTATTTAACATACACATTTTTAGTAGGATTTGAGAAACATTTTAGTCTTGGAGTTGGACGTTCTGCATAATTAAACTGGAATGTGAACTCTTGACATTGTCTTCAGAATACAAATTTATAATAAAGAATATTAAGAATTATCTAACCATGGGGATGCCTGGGTGGCTCAGTCGATTAGGTGTCTGCCTTTGGCTCAGGTCATGATCTCAGGGTCCTGGGATTGATCCCTTCGGGCTCCCTGCTCAGTGAGGCGTTTGCTTGTCCCTCCCTCTGCTGCTCCCCCTGCTCTTGCTGTCTCTCTGTCTCTCTCAAATAAGTAAAATCTTAAAAAAAAAAAAAGTATTATCTAACCATGTAGGGAGTGTAGTTCTGTATTACAAAATTAAGCCACTCAAGCATACAGCAGCTTTATAGAGTCATGGATATTTTATAATATTTTCATCTTATCATTATTCTTTCTTAGTTGCTGATGTATAGTCACGATGAGCGGATTAGGAGAAAACTCCTTGGATCCACTGGCCCCTGATTCCCGAAAACGCAAATTGCCATGTGATACTCCAGGACAAGGGTAGGCAGTGTATTTCCAGATGCTTCACCAAAGGCTCCTCCCCCTACCGTTATATTTTTGCTTAAAGATAGCATTCAGCTTTCTGTTATATATACTCTCTGGTTATATATTTTTTTGTCTTTGCTTAAATAATATGATTTCGCTTTGTACTAAGTAGTGTGGCATAGTGATCAGATGGACATCCTTATGATGCAATAGAAATTTTGTTGCTGATTCAGATAGAAGCAAGAATCTTATACTAACACCTTTGATACGGCCGTTATCAAGCACTTCTTAGTGGAGGTAGTAGGAGTTAGGAATAGATAATTAAGATTATCACAAGTAAGACTCTTTGAATTCCTGTAAGAAAATGTTAAGTTGGTATTTTGGCATTTGTGGGGTTTCATCATTCTTTTCCTGAATGAAGTTCAAAGTTTAAAAAATAGAAATCAGATACTTCATTTTATGCAGTGATACTCTAGCCTTTTTAGTATTTGCCAAGGTCAATATGACTTGAGTTTTAATGTAATTGTTGCAAAGTAAAAAAATGACCTGTAAGCCATAAAACCTTGTCATTAATAAGTAGCTAACACTGTTTTCCTTATTATTTGGTGTTTTACTGTCTCTATGAGGTAAAGACTATGTATCCTCATTTTCTGGATGACGAAACTGAGACTAAGTCTGCCCAAGGCCACCAGGCTAACAAAGAGGTGGACTTGAATGTAGGCTTGCCTGAATTTCTGCTCTGTTGTACTACTTCTTCAAGACAAGGTTTTGATGGTTTCCTTTGGCTAAATTTAATTTGTTCAGATACGAAGGTACTGATGTTGTATAGAGACTGGTTCTGCTCGCTGCTCTTTTGTGGTGGGTATATTCATGACCTCCCCCTTCTCTCTCAGTTTTACCTGCAGTGGTGAAAAGTGGAGACGGGAGCAGGAGAGTAAATATATTGAAGAATTGGCTGAACTGATATCTGCTAATCTTAGTGATATTGACAATTTCAATGTCAAACCAGATAAATGTGCAATTCTAAAGGAAACAGTAAGACAGATACGTCAAATAAAAGAGCAAGGTAATACAAAGTAAGAAAAACACTCAAGTCTTTTCAGGAGGAACTTGTTAACTGTGTTTACATTTGTCTTTTTGCTTCCTTGTTGCTCATTGGTGGACCACTGCTAATTGAACCTAGCCTGTGTGGGACTGAACAGATGAGTTGACCAGCTTTACTCTTTGAGAAACAGTTAATAGAGAAGTAGATAGAGGCTTGTTTCCTCACCCTGTCATGTGTTAGCTTCCTTTCAGGAAGCCATGGATAGTACATGTAGTAGTGAAGGAAAATTGAGGGCATCTTCTGCCCTCCTCGGTAAATGCTAAGTTTTAACCTTTAAAAATTATAGCATTGCTTTCTTATCAGGACATGTAATATATGTGCATGTGTATGCCCGTGTGTGTGTCTTTGTTGTGGGCACTGTGTGAAGGTGAGTTTGATCTGTAACTGACACATACGCTATTTGTAGTACTGCCTTGTGTCTTTTCAGGAAAAACTATTTCTAATGATGATGATGTTCAGAAAGCTGATGTGTCGTCTACAGGACAGGGAGTTATTGATAAAGACTCCTTAGGGCCACTTTTACTTCAGGCAAGTATATTATACTTTTGAGGAATTTTTAAGACTTATTATACACTTTTGTTTCCTTAAATAGGTTTGATTTACCTGTAGCACCTATAGCATGTTTCTCTTACTTTAAAGTAGGAGTTGGGAGCAGGGAGGCTCTTCATAACGTGCACCTGTTAACTTTTCTTTGTTGTTTCAACTAGTTTATTCCAACTACTTTTTAGTTGATCAGCTTAGTTCTTTGTAAATTTTCATTAGGGAGTAGTGTAGTGCCTATAGCTTGACTTGGTATCAAGTGGAAAAACAGATGCTAAGGATGATTTTCTTACTTTTAAAGCTCTTTTCAAGATGTAATTCTTCAAAAATTAGATTAGACAGTGATTCAGATTTTATGTTGACTGTAGTTATCTTTTTTCCCGAGTTCTTTTTATTTTTTATAAAACCTTATAGTAATTGTGCTAATGTCAATAGAAATGGTAAATGGTAGCTGATAATTGTGGTGGTTGTTAAATCAACAGTAGTTTTAAAAATTTCTGTTTAGTACTAAGTCTGGTGTCTTAATAGGCTAAGCCTGCCATAACAAAATATCACAGATTGGGTGGCTTAAACAACAGAAATTCCTTTCTTTTTTAAGAGCGAGAGAGTAGGGGAGGGACAGAGGGCGAGGAAAAGAGAGAGAATCTTAAGCAGGTGTGGATCCTGATGCGGGGCTCGATCTTAAGACCCTGAGATCATGACCTGAGCCGAAATCAAGAGTTGGGCACTTGACTGACTGAGCCACCCAGGCACTCCCAGAAATTTATTTCTTAAAGTTCTGGAGGCTGGAAGTCCAAGATCAAGTGTTGGCAGGCTTGGTTTCTCCTGAGACCTTTTTCCTTGGCTTGTAGATGGTTGCCTTTTCCGTACGTCTTCACATAATCTTTCTCTGTGTATATACATCCTTAGTGTCTCTTTTCTTATATATGAACGTCAGTCCTATTGGATTAGAGCCCTGTTCTTATGAGGGTTAGGGCTTCAGCATGTCAATTTTGGTGGGGTTACAGTTCAGTCCATAATAGCCAATATTAACATATCCCACTATAGGCATTGGATGGTTTCCTGTTTGTGGTGAATCGTGATGGAAACATTGTATTTGTGTCAGAAAATGTCACACAGTATCTGCAATATAAGCAAGAGGACCTGGTTAACACAAGTGTCTACAATATCTTGCATGAAGAAGACAGAAAGGATTTCCTTAAAAACTTACCAAAATCTACAGGTAGTCTTTTAATGTGTATTTTCTAAATAAGTTAAAAAAATTTATCTTCTTGACCATTTCTTAGAAAACTGAATGTACATTTTGGGAAGTAAAGTGATCAGCCTTGTGCAGAAAGGCAGGTGGTTAATAGCAAAGCTTTCATATACGACCTCGGTGAATTTAGAATTTGGTACACATTTATATGGGGCCAAAATATATAGCGAATTACAAAATGGTGAGATTTCTGTTGAAATGGAGGTTATTCCAATATTATATATATTGCCACTGCGAAATGTCTGTGTAGAAGTTACTGTGGAAAACATAGTAATGAGAAAATATAGCTTAAATTCTTGATGATAGTCATAGATGGAGTTGCCAGCTTTTTAAAAAACTTCTTTTCTTTTGTTTTCCAAAGTTAATGGAGTTTCCTGGACAAATGAGACCCAGAGACAAAAAAGCCATACATTTAATTGCCGTATGCTGATGAAAACACCGCATGATATTCTGGAAGACATAAACACTGGTCCTGAAATGCGCCAGAGATACGAAACAATGCAGTGCTTTGCCCTGTCTCAGCCTCGAGCCATGATGGAGGAAGGGGAAGGTAAGATTGACCACATGTTTGAGATATCTGCCTAACAGTGGACAAATTTGTAGTTCTGTGATTTCCATTGTTGTATTCATTTAGTGAATTCCACATCCTTGGTTGCCTATTGAATAGACTTGTCCAAAAGTTAAGTATAATCCTTACCTGGTTAAATTTTTATTATAGATTTGCAATCCTGTATGATCTGTGTAGCACGCCGCATTACTACAGGAGAAAGAGCATTTCCCTCAAACCCTGAGAGCTTTATTACTAGACATGATCTTTCAGGTAAACACTTGGTGTATGTGTGTGTGTATACATTTTGTTCATTGGAGAGTTTTTATAAAAGTTAACTATTTCTATAGCCTGCACTATGATGTAAGTGCCTACACCCACTGTCATGAATGCTTTGCATGGATTATTTCTTATGTTTCTTATGCAACTCTAAGATTCACTAAGACCCCTGGCATTTGTGTTGGGTATATTTGACACTTAAAATCCCTCAAATAAATAAAAAATAAATGTAGAGGCACCTGGCTTTCTCTCCAAATAGCATTTCATATCAGAAGTTAATATTTCTTTCTCTAACTTTAAACCCATTTTTCATAAATAAGTTTTCAAAAATACAGGTAATTTAATGAGAATTACTGGGAGTAATTCTTAATGTTAACATGAGTTTCAGTTTTTTTTTTTTTTAAGATTTTATTTTTGAGAGGGAGAGTATAAGCAGGGGGAGCAGCAGAGGGAGAGGGAGAAGCACGTTCCCTGTTGAGCAGGGAGCCTGACATGGGGCTTGATCCCAGAACCCCGGGATCATGACCTGAGCCGAAGGCAGACGCTTAACTGACTAAGCCACCCAGGTGTCCCGAGTTTCAGTCTTGGTCTGCCCTTTTTTGACTATGGGAATAAAGAATTAAAGCCAGTGTTAAGTGTTAAAGCACAATGATGAAGTTAAATGAGGTGGCAGTATTATCTGCATTTACCCTCAGGGTTACTCTTGTGATCATCTAACCTTGAATGGTGATGCCAACGTTTGTCTTCTAGGCACCATCTCTAGGCACTGTCTCCGAAATGAGGAACTAGGCCTGGTGACAGATAGGTTGGGTTACTTGTCCAAGATCCTGGCTAATAAGAAAGAATTTGCTGCTGGGTCTGCCTGATGTTGAAGTCTGTACTGTTTTGTGTCCACCATGTGGACCTGCAATAAATAATTTGATAAAATGGAGTAGGTTTAAACATCTAACATACTCTAGCTATTATGTGTGTACATATGTGTGTATGTATATATATGTTATGTACATATACATACATTACAATATTTTAGTGTTTAAAAAAAACAGCTATTTGGGTGCCTGGTTGGCTCAGTTGGTTAAGCGACTGCCTTCGGCTCAGGTCGTGATCCTGGAGTCCCGGGATC